TAACGTGGGAGCCACCAGCTACCAAACTAGGCTAGATTGACTCCTTCTTTGTCATCTTTCCAACAGCAACAAGTGAAAACTTTTAATTGTTTTGATAACTTCCAGGAAGGATTATTTATGAGGAAGGGGCTGCTCAGTGAATGGCCTGAATCCTCTTGGTAAATCTCAACCAGAGTAGATCCACCGAATCAATTGTGCAATGGTGAGACCAACATATAGATAAATCAATTTATTCCATGGGCTTACTCTAGTTGGGATTAACAGTACAATCTGGGCCGGTATATTTTTCGATTGCTTTCATTTCATGCAATCTTTCAAATAGTCTGGACCCAAGTGATACACAACTATGAAGCGAACAGCTCTGTTATCCAATGGCCAAAATGTTACAACCACATGTATAAATCACAGAATAAATAAAACCATTCAGTAAAACTAATTTTTTAATGTATTGATTAACTCCAGGGCTAGTCAAATAGGAATTTGTTGTCATTGATGTGTGTCATTGAAGTTATTTCCAACTCATGGTGACCCTACCAACATGGTGGAGTGGTTTGAGTGTTGGACTATGTCTCTGGTGACTAGGATTCAAATCCTGGCTCAGCCATGTAATCCCACTGGGTGATCTTGGGCAAGTCACACTCTCTCAGCCTCTGAGCATGGCAATGGCAAACCTCCTGTGAAGCAACTTGCAAAGAAAACCCCATGATAAGTTCACCTTAGGTTTGCCATTAGTCAGAAACAACTTGAAAGTACACAACAGCAACAACAACAGGAAGGCAAACCTATCATGTGGTTTCTTGGCAAGATTTGTTCAGACAATACAAGGGGCAAAAAGAAATGAAATGAATGAATATATATATATATATATATATATAAATACATACTTCATGCAAGTACAAACTTGTTTTTCTACAAGGAAAATGTCATTGTTCTTTAGAAGAGTTTGCATAATCATGAGGTGTGTGCATGTACACACAATGAACGACTGATTTACTGCCTAACCTGAAAGTTCATATCCACCCCTACTGTCACCCCCATACTGTGAGAATCACTGTAAAAACTAGAGAATGTATTAAACTTTAACTACTGTAACCCTAGAGAGGTCCGTTGTTTGCTTTTACCACACTGGTGTCAAAGATTACAGAGGGATCAATTTGCTGATCAGTGATCCCAACACATCAAAAACCTTGGATGGACAAAAATGATACTGTGATGGGAAGATCAAAGGCAGTAACAGCAAAAAATCACACATTAGTGTTTACTAGAATGGCAATAACTTTACACTCCTGTCTTTACTCTGAGCAACAGTTCAGAAGTCAAATTTTCTTTTTAAAAAACAATTCAATGGTCTAAACCCAGTTCTTAGTCCCAGTGGTTGCGTCATCTTCCATATCAGTGGGGCCATGAATCCCTTCCACGTTTTAGTCCAGCATCTAAAAGAACTATGCAAGGGTGCATCTTCACTGTAGAAATAATGCAGTTTGACACCACTTTAAGCGCTGCAGCTCCACCCTATGGAATCCAGGGATTTGTAGTTTCACAAATGCTGGTAACTCACAGAACTACAAAGCCCAGGATTCTGTAGGATGGAGCCATAGGCAGTTAAAGCGGTGCCAAACTGCTTTATAACAAAGACACATCCCTTGGAACTGCTTTTTAAGATTTTCATTTCTGGTGGGAGTTTTTAGCCTAAGAGTTGGCACAAGCTGTTTATCAAGGAAAAGTAATCAATAAAATAAGGCTACTTCCCAAGAGTGGAGTTTCTCCATTGTCAAAGGGATTGAAGATTGGCCTGGGACCCAGAGACGTGGCTCTGAAATCAGTCATTCAATGCAAGGAGGAGGCCTCCTTGGACAGAGAAGGAAGAGGAGAACTAGGACATTGTGCTCAAATTGGAAAAATCTGGCAGTCCTGGCATGGCACTGGCAGATACTGGTCCATCCTAGGCAGCAGCTTCAGATCAGAAGGAAGAAGAAAAGGCATTTCACTCTCTTGAGTGATGCATATCAGTTTTCAGGCAACACTCTGATCCTCTTTAAATACAGGACATCAAGCTAATGAGGCTAGTTGGGATGATGGACTGGCTATAAATTGGCTATAAATTAGCTCAGCCAAGACCATTCTTTTGTTGCAAACAACAGCTCCCAAGCCTCTGTGCAAATCTGTCTGACACTTCTGGCTTCCTGGCTCTCTGACCTTTGGCATATCCTTTGGACTAATCTTTCTGACAGCTCGCCTCTCAGCTTTGGACTCTGTTCAAATGTTCTCCCTTTGAACCTTGGCTTGCTTGGACCATGCTTCTGTTTGTAACCTTGGGTAAGCCTTGGGACTGGACTGGCTTACAGCTGCCAGTTCTTGGGGGCTATAGGTGTGCTCACCTGGGCAATTGCTGTCTTTTATACAGGACACACGCACCCTATGGACTGCATAAACCTCATTCCTTCCAATATGCAGTGGAGAAATTTGAAACAAATATTTCCTTGCATCTAAATAGAGTAAAACCACTGAAATCGGGGGATTTCTCTATATGTTGATTCACCCTTCTACCATTGGCAGACATTCTGTTGGTGTCTTATGTGTCCATAAGTTTTCTTACACATGCAGTTGTACTTTTTTGGCTGGCGAGCAACATCCATATTCAATTGGAGGTCGCAAAACTGGAATTAATCGTGTGCTGCCATTTCGCATTGTTACACATTGCACGTTGTCTATTATGCATTGTTGCACACCATGTCTTTTGCTTGCTTGGTTGTACGTTATACATTGATGTGAAATGACAGTGGGTTGTGCAATGTCCCAATTCTACAAAGAGAAGGTGCAGAGCAATTGAGGTGTAACACCATGAGTATAAAGTTATTCAATGTCTCTTCAATGCAGGTTCTCAGCCATTGATTCAACAGGTCTGCTCTATCTGGGGCTATCCAATAGAATTTGAGCGGCTCTATTTGCAAGAATAAAACCCTGGAAAAACCTACCAATATTTTGTTCAGTTTTTAAGGTGTTTCTGGTATTTGGAGAGATTAGAGGTGGTGGCAGAGACAGGCTACTGTCCATTCAAGCAAGCAGTCTTCCAGAATCAAACAATGGCACAAAAACCTAGGAGAAAACAATTTTTTAAAAGAGAGAGGGGGAAAGGGGAAAAAAAGATTTTCAGAATGTGAAAAGACTGGAAGAAATATGTGTGGATAAGTAGTCCTAGGTCTCACGTATGAGACACTTTCAGGTTGACTGGACCTTTACAAAGTTCATTTTAAGCGTGTCATACAAGATTGAACACAACGCACTTGAAACGTCTGGCCAGGAGGGAATCTGGCTGCTGAACTTTAGAGGTTTTTTTTTTAAAAACCACTGGCAAAACAGTCAGGTTTCTAATGTGTGAGTGTCTGGAATCAGATCTCCTGCCCACCCACCCCTTCCTTAATGTCTAATGGTTTTTCCTACTCAGTTCGGAAAGAAAATACACAACTACTCTAGGCTTACTATGTTTAGTGAGTGAGTTGTATGATTCAGTTGAAAATATTTCATTAACTCGTCTTAACTGAGCAGCTTCTCCTTCTCATATTTATTTGCATCCCACCTTTCCCCCCAGTTCAGGATTCAAAAAAGCTTACAAAGCTTAAACAGATACAGCTTTAAAACTCATATTGTTATATTTATTTCTGTCCCATCTTTCCCCCAGTTTGGGACTCAAAGAAATGAAGAAAAACACATTGTTAAAAAATGATGCTGCCTTGAGTAAGGGTGGTGTCACCATCTGGAGAGCCCATGAGGACCTGCATCTACACTGCAGAATTAATGCTGTTTGATGCTGCTTTAACTGTCAGGGCTCAATGCTATGGAATTCTGGAATTTGTACTTTTGATAGCTATTTAGCCTTTTCTGTCGGAGAGCTCTGGTGCCACAACAAACTACAAATCTCAGGATGCCATAGGCAGTTAAAGTGGTGTCAAACTGCATTATTTCTTGAATGTGGTAGCAGCCTTAGACTCCACAGTAGATTTGGCCCCAAGGCCTGAGGTTCTCCAGGTCTATGTGAGGCTATAATAACATGTTCCTTGCCCCCTCTCTCTGCATTTTTGCAACCCAGTGTTCCCAAGTGTTCCTTTCCTCCTCAGATGTTGCAGCGTGCAATGTCTCAACCCATCTTGCACAGAGCCCTGGCCACACGGTGGAGACCTTTTCTTCCTTCCCAGGTGCATGCAGCTGTGGTAAGCCAAGGGGGGCAAGCTATCCATGGGAGCCGGGTGGTGGTGGTGGGGAAAAAAGGCCTTTTGATTAACCTTTTGGCATTTGAGAGCTGAGATTTGGGGGCTGGAGTTGGGGTCTTGGGCTTGGGGAGAGAGATTTGGGAGGGCCGTCCACCCAACGAGGGAGGACAGAGCATGAAAGCCGAGGGGATGATCATCGTCAGGACGGGTTGAAAGAGATGAAAACATATCTCCCGACAAAAAAGCGTGGCTTTGCAAGAGAGCTGTGTTGTTAGGACGACGCAAACTATCCTTGAAATGATTAGTTCCACTTCAAAGGCCTTTCGATTTGACAGGAGCAAACGCAGCAGTCTCTTTTCATGTCTCAGAAAATAGGGAGGGAGGGAGGGGAGAGATGGGGGGGGGAAAGGTGGGTGTGCATGTGTGTCTGTGTGTGCCTTTTGCACCAAAGAGAGTCCTATGTCAGTGCTTCTTGTTTGTTTTCCAGTGTTTGAGGGGCACTTGCGGAAAATCAACAGAATGCCAACTGCCAGGCCTGGCTGTTCTTCCATAGCGGTCTGCACAAACAGTGCATTGATGGACATTGGCAGTACTGGCCCAAGATATTTTGCTGGCCAAGGTGAAGAACACCTTGTTCTCCCCCTCAGATTTTATTTCTCCATTCACCTTCCTCATTTCACATCCAGAAGCCAATTGGATTGGTAGCAGCATCTTCCCTCCATGGTGGTGATCCATTTGTCCTCCAGATGGACTGCCAGGTTGAAAACTGGAGAGAGCTTTTGGACCTTTAATGGTTGTGTGGTGTAGTCATTTGGGTGTTGGACTATGACTCTGGAGACCAGGGTTCAATTCCCAGCTCCACCATGAAACCTATTGGGTGACCTTGGGAAAGCCACATGTTTTCAGCCTTAGGGGAAAGCGATGGTGGACCTCCTCTGAACAAATCTGGCCAAGAAAACCTCACGATAGTTTCACCTTAAGGTTGCCATAGGTTGGAAATTTCTTGAAGGCACACAACAAGAAAAGGGAATTTCAGCAGGGTTTGCTTGTCATGCAACCAGGTGAAAAGCAACACCTGCTGAAATTCCTCTTCTACACTCCCATGAAAAGTAGAGATGACATCTCCAGTTTTCAGTCTGGCAACCCAACCTCCAAAACAGGTCAGGAGAAGAACATCGTAGGAGTCTTGGAACCACCTTGAAGACTAGCATAGTTTCTCGGAGTGGGCTGGCTGACCATTCCCACCAAAGAAAAAGTGTTGTTCTTCAAGGGGCTATTATCAAACTGTTGTTGATTTTGCTGTAATAAACTAACATGGTTGACCCTTCCAGGATTAGACTTCACAGCCATGGAATTACCACAACCGTCCCTCACCTCTGTCACTTGAGGCCATAGATAGATTGAGACACATTGAGGCTCTCTAGGCAATCTTAGGTTCAAGAGGTTGACAAGTCTTTGCTTGTCTGTGAAAAGATAATAGGTAGGGTAGAGAATAGGGAAGGTAGGGAGGGTGCCAGTCTAACTTCTCTGGGAAGGGAGCTCCAGATCCTGGGGCAGCCACCAAGAAGACCCCATCTTTCCTATTTCCCCATCAGATGGACCTCTGAAGGTGGTGGGACAGAGAGGAGGCCCTCCACCAGCAGATCTCAAAGGACAGGCTGGTGCACCTGAGCCATAAAGGGCTTTAACCCCTATGTGATAGTGTCAAGGGAGGGAGGGGTGTCACTTCTTCATGGTTCTGCCGAGTAGATTGGGACTCATAGAGGGCATCTAGATGAGTTGCCACAATCCACAGATTTTTAACCCCCTTTCTTAGGGGGGTTGCAGACTGCCAGAAATAGTGCAAATTGAGTCCACTTTTAGGGTTAGGGTTAGGGTTAGGGAATCATGGGAACTGTATTTTATTGTGGCACCACAGCTCTCTGACAGAGAAGGCTCAATATCTCAGAAAAAAACCAGTTCCCATGATTCCCTAGCACTAACCCTAACCCTAAAAGTGGACTCAATTTGCACTATTTCTGGCAGTCTGCAACCCCCCATAGTAACTCAAGTGGGAAATTACTGGGGGAAATGGCACTTTCCACCTCTGGCTCTGCAGATATTTTTCCCACCCCTAAAAAGTTAGGATTGTCCACACCATTGTATTTTCCATTTATTTCTATGTATGATTGTGAATGCTGGACAGTGATGCAAGTGGATAAGAAGAGAATTAATTCATTTGAGATGTGGTGCTGAAGGAGAAGGTATGCAGCCTGGTCTGTCAGCGAGCTCTGGTGCCTCACCAAACTACAAATCCCAGGATTCTGTAGGATACAGTTATGGCTGTTAAAGTGGTGTCAAACTGCTTTAATTCTGCAGTGTGGCTATACCCTACAACTCTGGAGATCAGGGTTCGGATCTGCACTTGGCCATAGAGCTTCTTAGGAAAGTGACACTCTCAACCTGAGAGGAAGACAAAAGCAACCCTCCCTTTGAACAAATCTTGCCAAGAAATGCCCTCGATAGGGTAGCCATAAGCTGGAAATGACTTGAAGACACACAACAACAATTGCACAAACCTGCAAATTTGCAAACTTTCTTACTAAATGTAAAATGAATTGAATCCTCCACTGCCACTGGAGTATCTGGTTTATTAGGTATATTCAACTTACAGCTCATAATTAGTACACAGGATTCTTCTTTGGTTCCATTTCACCTGTCTGTTTCTTTGTTTGATTTGCTTTTTCATGTTTCTTAGAATGTTTCTTTTCCTTTTCCTTTTTCCTGCTGTTCTCACTTTGATGCTTTGACAAGAAAGTGCAGCGTTTGAAAGTAAAGACTTAAGTCACAGAACATAATTTTATTAATTAAGTTACTCTTCCTTTTGTTAACAAGAGGGTGAGGAAGTCAGAGTTCAGGAGAAATCTAATGAGTGAAATGAAGCTACTGTGTTGGTGCAAGGAGTCGCTTTTTAAAAAGTTACATTGAAAGGGTATCATTCAGCACTTGTAGAGCCATTGGGAATTTTCCATTTTCTACAATGTTTTGTTTTGTTTTGTTTTGTTCTTATCAATCCCAAATTTCCACTTTCCCAAAATAATAATTAAAAAATAAAGGAACACCACAATGGGCAATGTAACAAGTTACTTTTAAAACACAGGACAGGATGACAGCAATGGCTTGCTTTTTGAGCAGAGTAATGCAAACAAATTGGTTTCTAAAATATAGCTTTCCATGCTCTGTCGATGGGAAATACAGAGCGAATAAGAAAGAATGGTGCAAAAGCAAAGCTGTTCTTATTCAATTTTGCACCGTTATTTTTGAATCATCTTATACATTTAGAAAGCAGGCAAACATCAAGAATAACTACCAAACAGGCTCCATCTGAAGGTGTGGCAACCAGTGTTTGAAAAGGTATTTATATTCATCTGTTGTTTTTAAAAAATATTTATTTCCTAACTCCATATCATGAGATCCCAGGATGGTGTGCAGATAAAATTGTTTTAAAAGAAATTTTAAAACAGTAAGGGATTCTTTAAAGACATTAAAAATAGTAAGAATACTTGAAAGAGTCTGAAGGCATATTAAACAATTTAACAGTGCAAGGAAGTTGAAAGAATTTAGAACTGTGTACATTTGCAGATTTGGACAAAATCGTTAGACCGCAAAAGCTTAGATTTTTTTTAAATTAAAAAATCCACACACATTTCAGCCTGGTACCAGCATTGGCACCAAACAGACCTCCAATGGGAGGGCAAATCATAATCAGGATCAAGTTCAAGTTCTTGGGATCAAGTCCGTGGGATCAGTAAGCCAACTGTGATGTAATGGTTGAAGTGTTAGACTACAACTCTGGAGACCAGGGTTCGAATCCCCGCTCAGCCATGGACAACTATTAGCCGACCTTGGGCAAGTTGCGCTCTCTGCGAGGTTTGATCACTCCTATACTTTTGGACGTATCTGGGAGATCTGAAGCTTTTTATTTAAATTACCTATTATCAGACTGGAATTCGCATATAACTTATAAAGTGGCACAATTTTCTGCACTAGCAATCACTTGTAGGAAAAGAATAACTGATCCAAGTTAAACACATAATATTGTGTCATGTCTGGTACTGCATGTCTGGTAAAAATCTGATATCCCTAATTTATCTTTATTATTTCTATCTTAAGGATGGAAACCCATAAAGGTTTATTTTTATTTATTTTATTTTAAATGAACCTATCTTAAATGTAATAGAAATGAACTATTTACATTCCTAGTTAGCAGATTTTTATCCCAAGTAATCTTTATATGTATTAATTTCCTTTTCTATGTTAAACTTTATACTGATGCTGGTCTTTCACCGTAATAAAAAATTTCACTCTCTGAACCTCAGAGGAAGGCAAAGGAAGCCTACCTACGAACAAATATTACCAAGAAAACCCATGATTGTTTCACCTGAAGGTTGCCATGAAGTGGAAATGACATGGCACACGACAAGAAGTGCGTGATCAAGAAATGTGATCAAGTTGGCAAGGGTTACACGGAAAGAGAAAGTTTCCTGGTGCTCATTGCTAGGAAATCATCACAGTTACTTCTTCTCCTTCCTTTTTGGGACTTTGCACAAAGGTTTCTGTACTTTTTTCTTTTTTTGCAAGGAGAGAGGTGTTTGAAAGTCCAGTCCTAGGGGAGCAAAACCAGCGTCAACTCTCACCTCCATCGGCCGAAAGAACAAGAGACTCAAGCTGATGCGAGGAGCCGTGGAAATATTTTGTCTCGCTGAGAAGCCTCCGACCATATGCCCCGAATTAATTTTCAACACGGGCACAACTCAAACAAACTACCCCTCCTCCTTCTTTCAAGTTTCTGTTTGTGCGGGGGCATTAATACTTTACACATTTGGTAACTTGACAGCTATTGTGGCCGAGGCCTCAAGTCTGCCGTCTGTGATCTCGGACTGCATCTCTGTTCTGTCTTTTCAAATATGGACTTAATCTGCAAGTGTTTATTAAATAAAAGCTGCCATGAATAGCTGGAGAGAGCAACTGGGGACCAGACCTTGCCATTAGAACCGCAGTTAACCGAGGTTTCACATAGTTCACTGATCCTTGTGGATTTCTGTCCTGGAATGGGTATCCTTGGCATCCCTTCCTTCCCAACTCTCCTTTCCAAAATCTGCCATGAGACTGACCATGTTAAAGGGTTTCCATGTTCAGCATGCCAGATTTCAAACTCCACTGGTTCCTTCATCAGGCAAAAGATGCTAAAAACTTGTACAGAAGATGAAAAGTGATGGCACATCATCACTTTTCATCTCCTGTACAACTTTAAAACATCTTTTGCCCGATGAAGAAACCAGTGGAGTTCAAAAGCTTGCAGGATGAACATAAATCACAGGCCTCTATTTTGTCTCAGATGTTGTTTCTGTTGTAGTTCAGTTGTTCTGGAGGGTTTTC